GACGTAGCGAGTAGTCTCTGTGAGCAGGTCCAAGTCTGTTACATGTGAAAAAGCTCTGTTGCTGGGAGACACTGGGAAAAGAGCAGATATTACTCCACGGGCATTTACTAAGAGCCATGCTCAAGGTCACATCCTCTCTTCTTTGCGCTGTTCTCTGGCCTCTATTAGAAAAGTTAATATTGGCAGTGTCCTCAATAGTGTTTGTCAGCTCTATGTCACTGCACCAATAAAGAGGGATAAATATTGACATACTGGAGCAAGCTTCCCAGAGACCGGTTCCCTGTATCTGTAAGACACATCTCAGCCTGCAGGAGCCTGTGTCTTCTGCTTTGGCTCGCTCACTCTCTTTCTCTCTTTCTCTCTTTCTCTCTCTCTCTCTCTCTCTCTCTCTCTCTCTCTCTCTCCCTCACCCCCATGCCTTGCTTCCTTCTTCCAAAGGACCAATCACAGCTTTCTCACTCAAAAATTCGAATGGGATGGGCAGAGGTGGGAAGAAAGACAGGATAGAAAAGCCTGCCCTGCGTTGTCTCCGGTCTAATGTCTTGTGCCTTGTTTGAGGGCTGTAGTTTTCCTGACACCTGAGTGGGGGTAGCGGCAAGGCCACAGAGTGAATGGAAGACAAGGTCCCACCAGAATCATATAAGTAAATGAAATCATTTGCCATGGGATGGTGAATGAAGACATGCAACTCAACCATTAAAAAAAAAAAAAAAAAAAAAAAAAAAACCAACAACGAGGCCGGCGCTGCGGCTCACTAGGCTAATCCTCCGCCTGTGGCACCAGCACTCCGGGTTCTAGTGCCGGTTGAGGCGCCGGATTCTGTCCCAGTTGCTCCTCTTCCAGTCCAGCTCTCTGCTGTGGCCCAGGAGTGCAGTGGAGGATGGCCCAAGTCCTTGGACCCTGCACCCCATGGGAGACCAGGAGAAGCACCTGGCTCCTGGCTTCAGATCGGAGCAGTGTGCCAGCTGTAACAGCCATTTGAGGAGTGAACCAACAGAAGGAAGACCTTTCTCTCTGTCTCTCTCTCACTGTCTAACTCTGCCTGTCAAGAAAATAAAACAATAAAAAAAAATGAAATGCAAGCGTGCACAACACATAATAAGGACGAGAATTGTTTTCTAACTCTTACGCCTATTGTGTTGTAGGGTAGCCTAGCTCTTGCTGTGAGTCACAGCACAGAAATCTGAAAGGCACTGACGGTGGTTAAGTGGGTGCTAACAGCCACAGCAGCACCTTCAGTGCCTTAATACGGTGCCGGAAACATCACCGAGGCGCTGTAGCCTGGCCAACAGACAGCAGGCGGAAGTGCTGACGAGTACCACTTCCAGGCCTGAGCAATGGATTATCCACTTGAAACAGTGCTCTTTGTCTCTCCTGGGGCAAACCTGAAGACCTGGGTTGGGGTAGCATTTAGACAACATGCTGGTACCCCCACAGCCTGCGTCCTGGGTGACCAAGTGGAGCAGAATTTACTGCCAGCCTCACCTCCACCAACCTGTGTTGGACCTGCAGCTTGATGTCCAACATCATCGGCCAGCATGCGGCACGTTGAGGCACGAGTCGCCCTCTTAGAGCACGGTCATCCCATCACCCCTTGGTGCTCAGATGGGGATTGGTTCCCGGATTCCGCAAGGACACACCAGTGTGCAGATGCTCAAGTTGTCTCTGTGCCATGGCGTGGGATTCTCACAGAACCTGCTCACATCCTCCCATACATTTTCTTTTTTTTTTTTCTTTTGACAGGCAGAGTGGACAGTGAGAGAGAGAGAGACAGAGAGAAAGGTCTTCCTTTTGCCGTTGGTTCACCTTCCAATGGCCGCCGCAACCGGCGCACCGCGCTGATCCGAAGGCAGGAGCCAGGTGCTTCTCCTGGTCTCCCATGGGGTGCAGGGCCCAAGCACTTGGGCCATCCTCCACTGCACTCCCTGGCCACAGCAGAGAGCTGGCCTGGAAGAGGGGCAACCGGGACAGAATCCGGCGCCCCGACCGGGACTAGAACCCGGTGTGCCGGCACCACAAGGCGGAGGATTAGCCTAGTGAGCCGCGGCGCCGGCCTCCCATACATTTTCAATGGACTCTAGATTACTTATAACACTTCACTCACTGCAAATGCAATTAGTTGCTATACTGTATTGTTCAGGGGATAATGATAAGAAAAAAGTCTCTATTTTCAATACACAGTTTTTGTTAAAAAATAACATTATTGCTTCATTGTTGGTTGAATCTGCAGAGGCACAACCATGCAGTTACAGAGGGACAACTGTATACAACTCAGTGGTTTTTGGTATTTTCAGAACAGATTTTTCAGGGCTTTTGAAAAAAAAAAAAAAAGCCTGGGGTAAAGAGTTTACGTTTTGAGGCTGGTGCTGTGGTGTAGTAGGCTAAGGCTCCACCTGCGGCACTGGCATTCCATCTGGGCACCGGTTTGTGTCCTGGCTGCTTCTCTTCCGATCCTGCTCTCTGCTATGGCCTAGGAAAGCAGCAGCAGATGGCCTAAGTGCTTGAGACCCTGCACCCATGTGGGAGACTGGGAAGAAGCTCCAGGCTCCTGGCTTTGGATCGGCCCAGATCTAGCCATTGCAGCCATTTGGGGAGTGAATGGAAGATCTCTCTCTCTCTCTCTCTCTCTCTCTCTCTCTCTCTCTCCCTCTCTCTCTATCATTCCCTCTGTCTGTAACTCTACCTCTCAAATAAATAAATAAAATCTTTAAAGAGAAAGTGAAAGAGAGAGTGAGAGCGAGAGATAGTTTAAGTTTTATCCTAAGGATGTTGGAGGTTGCCTTTTAATTGTAAAGTGTATTAAGGAAATGATCCGACAAGTACTTTTCCTCATTGCCGTTGGCTTCTGCTTAACTTTTTCCAAATGCGGTATGCTGTTTTTCATACTTATCATCACATCAGAACTGTATGATTTTGTTTTCTATGTTCACCTTGGCATTACCTGAAATATACTTTTCTCTGTGTTCATGTCCTCTTTTTTAATGACTATACCTCACTGCCTGCTATTGTTGGGCCTTTCCAGTTGTGTAGCACGTAGATGGAGCTGTAAATACACACATTCACACAAACACTGGTGGGGGCTGCCAGGAGGCAAGTGAAGGGTTGAGGGCATGAAGTTTAAGGAGGCACCAACCTGCCAATGTGAAATCTTGCATCTCTGTACCTCATTAGCACACACTTAGAGTACGTGTGTGTGCGAGAGAGACTGTGTGTGTGTGCCTTCTAAATTACTTCCTTGTAAAATTCCCTTGATGAGAGATTACTGTTTCAGAGTATAGTAAGAATCCAATTACTAGAGTGTTTCTCAGAAAGATTCCATTGATGAGATTTTTCTTCTTTGATCAAAATTTTGATGTTTGCAGATGGTCATTTTATAAATATTACAGAGGCAGTTGGGGCTGTAGGGGACTGTCAGAATAGCAGCAGAGCCCAGTTACAGAAACAGTATGCTGTACAAATTCCACAGATCTGACTCTCCACATTTGCAAGGCCAGCTCAGAATACTGTTTTTAGACAAGCAGTTGACCTTCACATTCAGTTTTTATCGAAACAACAGCAAAACCTCTGATACCAAGTCCACGTGCCCTGAGAGATGACCACTCTGGCTCCACCAACCTTGCCTTCAAGGTGTATCCTTTTCACAAGAGATTGACCAACTGGATTCAGACACAGGAGGTTCTGTGTGAAGGGTAGTGAGCCATTTGCTGATGTACACAAACCAAGTGTCAGCTTTAGGCTCAAACGCAGATTATATTATCAAGTGACAAATGGCAACAGAATTTCCCCAGTAACAATAGTTTGTACAAAAGTCAAATGGAAAAATATCTGGACTATCCTGTTCTGTTTAAATTTTTCCAGGGGTAGGGGGACTTTTAAAGACAGCGCTCAACGGAAAATCACCAGGATGGAGGTCAGAGAGGTCTGAGTCATTACTGGGCAGATGTGGTTCCCAATCTTGCATTGGTAGGGCACAGACTGGAGGGTGATGGAGCAGAAAGAGCAAGTCGGGGTGAGGTCCAGCATCATCAAGAGAGATTGTGGGAGAAAAAACAATGCAAAATTATCTTCAAGGTTCCTGGAGCAACTTCCCTGATGTCTTGGAAAGATAATGTGTTTTCCTACCTGCCAGTCAAGGCTGATCAAATTACTAACTTCGTGTTACCTAATCTGAACTACCAGAAGCTAAATATTGGTGCTGTTTCTATGTCTGGAGAATTGGGCTGAGTACGGTACAGGAACCTGCCACTTTAAGTGTCACTTCCTTAGAATGGAATCAGTTTCACAGAGACTGAACAGAGCCTTCAGTGTGTTCTGCATCAAGCTCCCCAGGGCTTCCCAAGCTGCAGGGTTGCTGGCTTGTGTTGCATGGTTTGCTGAAGGCACCCGACACGTAGGGGCACAGCTGACACCCCCCCCCCCGCCCCCGACACCTAGGCTGGGTGCAGGGATGGCTCCGGGAGGCTACTAAGCACAGTCGTGGCAAACACATGTAGTGGTGTCTGCAAAAAGATGGCAAGCCATTTCTCCGACATGGACCTTAGTCTAGGAATAAAGTGTGCTAAACTACACCTGTAGTCTCTAGGATCGACACAGACGGGGCGTTTGGCAAATCCCCACGGAGCATCCTACTGAGGTTGGACAACAAACGCATTCTTCCAGCCCCTTAAAGGAAACCAAAACTTCTTTCCAAGTCCATTTACAGGATTCTGTTACTTTCGCTAGAGCATTCGCTAGTCCACGCCCCGCGGCAGCTGGTAAGGTCTCTCCTGCCACGTGGTGCGAAAGCCAGCGGTAGGAGAGGACGGAATCCGGTGCCGCTAGGACCTGGCGGAAGCTCCACCCGGGCGGGGTCGCCGGGAAAGCCCCCGGGGCAACGCCCACCTCGGGGAGTGCGGCCAATCAGATGGCGCTTTCGCACATTCGCACGCCAATCGCGGGCGCCGATTCTGCAGCCGCACGGGCTATTTAAAGGTGCGCGGCGCGGCGCCGAAGCTACAACGGTTCTGGGCCTGGGTCTCTGAGGGGCGGCCATGGCGACCCACCTTGTGCTCTACAACGGCGCCAAGATGCCGATCCTGGGGCTGGGCACCTGGAAGGTAGGTTCCCGGGGACGCTGTCCTCCTCCACCCCGACCCCTGGTGCGCTTCGGCGCCGCGAAGTCCAGGGGCGGGGAGGGACCCGCGGTCTCCGGCCCCGGGCCTGGGTCCCCCGGGTGGGGTGTGGTGGAGGTCGGGAGCCGCGCCGCTCGGGCAGGTGTTGGCCCGAGAACGGGGCCGAGGGAGGCCGCTGCGACCTCCGCGCCTGGCCCGGGACGCGCCCGGGGAGCGGACCCCAGCCGAGCTCCGCGCCGGCCCAGTCGTCTCCGTTTCCAGACTCGGGCGAGCGCCGCGGGGAAGCCCGGAGGCGGCGGGCGGTGGAGGACCCCGCGTTCCGGTCCCCGTCCCCGGCGCCGCGCTGAGCCGGGCCGACCCCCGGGGTCCCGGGCCTGGGGCCCCGCGGGCATCCCGGCGCCGCACCCGCAGCGCGAACCCGGGGAGAACCACAGGACGGGGACGTTTTCGATAGGTTAGGGCAGATGTGATGAGAAGGAGCTGGTGTTTTCAGGTGGCTTGCAAGCCGGCTTCGGGATCGGGGATTGAACGCGGGGACTTGGAAACGGAAAAGACAAAGTTTAGGTTGGCGCAAAAAGTGTTGAAATACATGCATAGGCCGTTTCATGATATGTATTTTCCACTAATTTTTTGACAGCCCCCTGTTTATTGCATTCCATAGCTAATGGCCCGGGTTCTCCGGTTAAAGGAATTTTGAACATGGGTCTGGCTGTGAAACATCTACACAGGCTGGGCGGGCCGTGGCCAGCCGTTAGGATGCCCACGTCCCGCTTCACCTCCTGGCGCCGGCTCCGGGCGTGCAGACCCTGGGAGGCAGCAGGTGATGGCTGAGTAGCTGGGCTCCTGCCACCCACATGGAAGACCTGGATTGAGTTCCAGCCGCCCCTGCCCTTGTGTGCTCCTGGGGAGTGAACCAGCAGATGGGGACGACTGATCGATCAATTGATCGATCAATAGAATAAATTTACATACAGGGAAAGAAAAATTTAAAAGTTGAGTATAAGTGGGTTCAAATAGAGCAGATATGTTGACTTGTACCCTGAAAAGAGTTGAAGATGAGTACATGATAAGGGGAACGAGAGGATGGCTTGCCTCACGTGGAGAGTGTTTCTTGGCCAAAATACGTAATTTGTATTTCCCCCGAAAGGTCCAGAGCTGGCCCTGAGCGTGTAATTGAATCAGAACCCCGACACCAGGACAAGTCCCCTGTCTTGCAGCTTGTGCCCTTGGCATGGCCGTGGAAACAGTAACAGTAAATACAGCTTCTGTCGTCCTGCAGCACACAGACAGACATTTCTAACTGCTCTCACAGTTTCACAAGGCAGTGCAGTACTTGAGCTTAGGACGGGGGATGCATTCCTGTATTTTCATTCTAGTCCAGTTCCCAGGAATTACGGCCATAACTTGAGAAATTAAACTCAGTCTCCTTCATTTGGATCTCGATCCTCGAAGGTAAACAAGGAGCGGAAGTTTGTGAAAGAGGGCGTCACACCATCTGCTCACTCAGCTCCCCAAGAACCTGCGTAGTTCAAAAATGGCCAAGTCTCTACGTTTGGGTGGCTCATTCCGGCAGATGAAGTTCATCGAGAGCTGGGACAGCCTCTGCCTTGTTCACTGCTGTTTCTAGCAGTTCTCAAGGTGCCTGGCAAATAGCGGGTATCCAGGTTACGTGCCGGATTAGCAGGGAGAAGGAAGGTGAGATCTGAGAAACCGGGGGCGCTTCCCCAAGTTCATGGGCGTGTGCATGGTCTTCCGAGTGCACTTACCCATGACCTTCCCAAGTGCCCTCCTAGGCATACGGTGCAGACGGCCGCTTGCATGAGTAGGCCTGGGCTGAGAGGACGCTGGTGTAGAATTGTGTGGAGACGTGGGGTGGGGTGGGGCAGTGGTGGAGTAAGTGTGTAGATACGGCCCGGGGGTCGATTCCTTTAATGACTTAAACCTTTCCCCGTGTATGTGTACAAACTCCTTCATAGATGTCCGACCAGCACTGTGGTCATTTGCTTGTCACTGTGACAACTGGAAGAGGCCACCTGTGGGTGTGGCTCCTTGTCCTCCTGCATATTTCCATGTCCTGGTGGCCGTGCTGTGCCCTGCAGGGCCACGGACCCCTGTCCCTCTTCAGCGGTCAGGGTTTCAGGCATGGGGGAGACCCTCTCTAGCCCTGGCCCTTTGTGCCTTATGTGGAGTTTCTTCCTGGCAGATCTGCCATGACCCCAGTGCACCGTAAACAAACCTGTAGCTCGGCAACACCAGGAAGCCTCGCACACAGAGAGGAGCTGATGCCTGCCAGTGCCCTGTTGCAGACGATGCTTGTACCCTAGCTGGAGAACCATTGGTAGTGTCTGGTCACTGTCATTCTCACAAGGACACCGGAAGCACGCCTAGGACTGGAGACAGAGCAGTGCTTCTCAATGTTTCTCCGTCACCGGCCCACACCTCTCTCAGAGCCTTCGGAGACATTTTCCCCCTAACTGCCCAGCCCCAGTAGGATTCTGACTTCCAGA